TTTTAGTGTGAATTCTACGCACGTTGTTATACATGAGGCCCCAGGAGAGAAAGCCTGGCAAGAGAAAAAACAAAGGAGGGCTGTTAAAACCCAGCAAGGCATCTCCACACCTCAACAAGAGAAATGAAATAAGACCAAAGCAGTCTTTGATGAACAGGGTGACTGCTGTTGGATGGATCCTGCAGATAATAATTTTTAATAATAATAATTTTTATTAAAAAGAAGAATATTATTTAACTCTAGATACTTTGACATGTTTCATCATACGTAATAAAATGTTCACATTTTGGTGAATTTAACATATGTATTATAATCTCTAAAATATTCTTCAATAGTTCCCTTTCCAAGCAATGATTTAATCAGCCTGACATTCACAGGGAAAAATTGATGACTTATGGATGAATTATTTCTGCATATTCTGTTCACTCTCTTTAAGGCTGCTGGTAAATAATTCCTAGTTCACCCAGAAAAAAAAAAGTTTCGATGGCTAAAACATAAGATTTTTGATGCTATCAGACATGATGATTCGTCGCTCTATGACAGACCTTCTCTGGGCGCCATGGAAACCCCAGCATTGTTGAATTTGCAGGGATGGGGGCTCTTGCCAGAGTCTGTGTGAGCATGAAAGGTGGGAAACGGCCACTTGGCTGTGCTGATGACAGGAGTGACCGGAAGGCTTGGATCATGTAGCGGGGCAAGCAAAATTCCCCCACCCCATGGGCACAAAACTCGCTCAGCCGAAATATCAGCTTCCCGTTTCACAAAAGCTGGGGCAGAGTGACGATAAAAGGTCAAGCCTGTGATCATGGTTCAGCACTATGTTTAAAAGTCAGCCATAGTAGACACAGATGATTCCAGTCATTATGTATTTTAGCAGTGATGGGGCTACAATAATTATCCTCTCAGGAATTAGAACCATAAATTTTATATGTGCAGAATATTTATAGAAAAAGACAAAATTGGTGCAAGCAAAATATGTACATATGAAAAGGTGCAGGTACTAAAACCTAAAGGTGTGCTTTTAGCACGAGGGACTTGCAGAAGGAGGCTTAGAGAGAGTGACCATAACATCAGGTACATTGACCAGTTTTTATTATAGCACTGGAAGCTACACAACAGGAGGAGCTAAAGTGAAATAAAAATGACACAATATGGATACATACAGTAGAAAACAGGTGGACAGAGAGTCATATGGCAGAAGAATAGGGCAGAGTGTTAGTGCTCTTGCATCAGGACCACAACCACCAAACCATAAGATACTCTCCAACGCCAAATTAGATATGGCGGATCTGTATAAGTGTGACAGGGCACGGCAGCAGAGTCCAGCCAATCCACTTAGTTTGAGAGTAAGGCAAAGTGTTTGCCAACCAGAATGTTCTTCATCCAAGTTTCAAAGCTGCCAAACAAATTTTACAACCAGCGGAGTTGACTAAACAGTCACACAACCTTGCCATGAGAATTTTTTTACAAGTATACAAAAATACTTAACCAGTTTGATAAGAAAATAACATATAAAAGGTATATGGCCAAAAGCCTTTAACCATCAGCTCTCATCAAAGTAACCAGTGACTCGGCATGCTTCTTGTTCAAGTGAGGAAGATGAGGGAAGCATTAGTACTTATTCACAAGCAAACCCATGGGATGCAGACATATAGATCACTGTGAAGACAAAACCTCATCTTCAATCCAGAGCAATGGTTTAAAAGCTGTTTATTTGTTGTTGAAAATCTGGGAAACATATATAAAAACACAATTTGTATTATACAATGCATTTTACAGTATCAAAGCAGACAATGAAAATAACTGCTTACATTAGAATCTGGGTGACCCTAAGGTGAATACCCGGACCAAACTGAGTTTAAGAAACCTGTACTGATCTTCACAGGATCTGTCCCAGTTCTACCAGCTTCACCTGATGTCACAAAGCCAGTTTCACCTGGGGAACTGAGATGAGGCACCCAGAAAGTTCACAAGTGCCCCTCACTGAGCGGGCAGTACTGTTGAAATGCTGAGAACATATCCCAAATGGGCATGGCCTCCAGCTCCCTCTCCCTACACATGCTTGGTTTGGTCGAGGCTGTGAGGGCGGGGGGGTGAAAGGCGTGGACAAAGCGGTACGAGGTGGAGAATGTCCAGGTTCATAGTATCGCTGATTCATCAAAAAAAAAAAATAACAGTAGACAGTCAGGATGTGGATCTCAAAACGACCACATCCTGAGACACAGATACTGAATACATATTCCTTCATTTACATCCAAACATAGTATTTTTTTGGCAAATTGTGTAATTATACCATAGTTAATAGTATACCTTTGTGTTTATTCATGTTAAACCAAGCTCTTAAACTTTCAAAACTGTACTTCTGCGAAGTAATTCACTGAATATGCATATGCAAAACACACAATTCCTTTGTACAGTAGTTGATTAGCAAATTAATGCGAAAACAGTTATGGCACAACACACACACAAAGCTTAATCTGAACACTCACACTATAAGGTGGAAATATTCTCTTGCTCGTTTACATTTCAGGATTTTCTTCTTTTGTTTGCTGACAGCACTATTGTCATAATGTACAAATTCCACAACGAGGCAAATAGAAGTCTTTCAAAATACAAAAAGGAATTGTTTCTCGTTTTAAGAAGCAGTGCTTAGTGTCGATAGGTTCTGTACTCCTGTCTGATGGCTGTTTCGTGTGCATTGGGCGCGGACAGCGACCTTCCGTCATGTTCTGTATTCTGCCCTAGTCGTTCTATTAGTGTAGTTCCAGGATAGCTTCTCCAGTCAAGGCCTTCGCTGCTATGGCAACCGCGGGGCCATGCACGTGAGCAAAGGCGGCAGTGGTCATCCACACAGGAAGTGATGTCAGTGGGCAGGGCAGGCACTGGTAAAATAAAAAATAAAAAAGATGGGAGTGGGGAGGTGCCCCAGCTCAGATAATCACGCAGTGGCAGCCACTCTTGTCCTTCTCCTTGCGGGTTGGTTCTGGTGAAGGCGGACACTCCTGCTCCTGGAACTTCCTGCGGAACCCAGAGCAGTGCTTAGCTGAAAGGACGGCGTCTCATTCCCAGGTTTTAATGTTGCAGCACACTAAGTAAAATTATGGGAGCTTTCATGTAACTTAACCACACCCCTCTGGTCTCAACAGAATCAAATATATTAAGTACCAGAGTGAGTCCAGGATAAATCGCCTCCGAATTGGAGCTTTGCACCAGGACAGATCCTTAAAAACCACTCACCTTATTACTCTAACGAGCTCATGGAAGGCTTGGTCTACATTCAGTCGGATCTTGGCTGAGGCCTCCATGTAGGTCACCTTCAGCTGCCTGGCCAACTGCTGGCCTTCTTCCTGAGTCACCTGGAGAAATGAACGGCACCTCAAAGCACACCTTAAGGCTACAGGAAGTCCCTGTGCAGAAGCCATTTACCATTAAAAAAAAAACCGAAGAGTGGTTTTCTGTGCCCCCTGCTGGAATGGTTGAGGAATGCAGTTCAGTGGGTTTAAATGTTCATTGGACTAAAATAAATATTTTTAATCATTTATGCTGCTGACACTTTCACCTAAAACCACATAAAAGTGAGACAGATAGTATATTACAGGCATACAGCTGTCAAGGAACTGGCGAAGGTGCTGCCAAGTTGACCAACCAGTGAGTGACCAGTGAGTAATATGTGTAAGTTAGCATTGGAGCAAAAGCTATGCAAAACATAGTTAGAACCTAACATCAGAAGAGAGTCAAAATCTAAATATTATGAGAACTTGTTTACTACTACGAAACTGCAAAATACAAAGTAGCATCAGGCTAAGTGAAACCATAACAATGAAATAGTGAGCATAGACAAAGAGCAGGAGAGCGTCTGTTAGCTGGGTTTGCCGAACAAAAGCTCTGAGCCGATCTGAGGTCTGAGCTGATCCTGAATATGAAAGGAACTCTTCCACTGAAGAAGAGATAACAAAGATCGCTTGTTTATTCAGCTGCCAAAGTATTTTTCATCCTCTGGGGGGCAGGCTTGAGTTATCTTGATATGATACATTGGCCTACATCTCTGTGAACTGTCAGCCATAGGTACCATCACCAGTGTAAAAGTAGTATTGCCAGGCAATACTTCTTTGTGAAGTAGTATTGCCATGGCAATACTGGCAATACTAATGGCAGCGGCCATGCAGTCAACACGGGCTAGTTAGCCTTCTGCAATGGAGTTAATCACAATCACAATGACGTGCAGGTTAAATTATGCTCTGCGAAAAAAACCATCAAGCATCTCTGCTTAAAAAATTAACAGATAAATAATTATAAAAATTCCCACAACATTCCACCACAACATTAATGTGATTGAGGAAGTGAAAGACCTCAGTGACTTTTCCGTGGGAGGGCGCACACAAAAGATCGGACATATTTAAAAAGGGGGGGGGGGGGGCTCTTAAGAACTTACTTGTCTCTGCAGCTCCAGGTCGGCCTTATTGCCCACGAGGATCATGGGAAACTCATCACGGTCTTTTACTCTGAGGATCTGCCTCTGAAACTTGTAGATTTCCTCAAAACTGGCAAACAAAGAGATGAGCGGTTGTGAGAACACGGGTCCTGGAAAGGACGTCGCGGGAAACCCCGAGCGTCACAGGTTTGGTCTGAATGTGGAGGCTTCCCCTTCTTGGGAAAGCTCCGTGGAATGCAGCATCGAGGCCAGATGAATGAAAGCATTTCCTTTGCACATGACAATCTGGATGGGGCTTCTTTGTGAAAGGGGTCCAACGGAGAACAAGGTGGACGGGGATGACTTGAACATGATTAACCCCTCCTGTGCCACTAGGGCACTCCAGGAAACCCAGCCACAATGCCGCAATAGTGACAGGATGGAGCTGACTCTTCTGTTGTGGGACAGCATGCAGCCTTGGGCGATTTGCGAGTTGCAGGGAGCTAACAGAACAGGGCCACGGAGAGCCGAGTGAGTGGGACACTCAACTGCAACTGGGATAAACAAAATGTTCCCATCGACACAGGAATGCAGTGCAGCAAACAGAGAGCTGACAGCTTAGTGACCACACAGTAAATCTGGTGCAAGTTAGAGCAGGGATGATAAAAATGGAAGAAGGAAAGGCCGCGCACGCGCAGACGCGGACACACACACACAGACAAGGTAAAGAGTTGCAGTCTTTTAATAACATAGTGGGGAAATTTGGTCATTGACACAGGCAATAATTACAAAATGGTTTGATAATTACAAAAACACATGCCCACACAAACACACACACAAAGACACACACACACACATGAATAGAGAGAGAAAGCAAGGGATGAGAGTGAGGAAAGTGAGGGAGAGGAAGACCAGCTGGAACATCCCTAAGCCTAACCCTAAGCCTAACCTTCCCCCTACCCCACTAAGCTGTAGGATTGAGGGAAGGGGGGGAGAGGAAGACCAGTTGGAACATCCCTAAGCCTAACCCTAAGCCTAACCTTCCCCCTACCCCACTAAGCTGTAGGAGTGAGGGAAGGGGGGGAGAGGAAGACCAGCTGGAACATCCCTAAGCCTAACCTTCCCCCTACCCCACTAAGCTGTAGGAGTGAGGGAAGGTGGGGGGAGAGGAAGACCAGCTGGAACATCCCTAAGCCTAATCCTAAGCCTAACCTTCCCCCTACCCCACTAAGCTGTAGGAGTGAGGGAAGGGGGGCAGGGACATAGGCTCACCTTCCCCTGTCGGTGACGGAGAACACCAGCAGGAAGCCCTCTCCCGTTCTCATGTATTGCTCTCGCATGGCACCAAACTCCTCCTGGCCTGCCGTGTCCAAGACTGTATAGCAGAGAGAGAGCACAGCCTTTACACACCTTTACCCTGCCCCCAGGGGGTGCCCACACCCCATCCCCTACTATTTACAATGAAACCTATGGGAACTATGTAGCAACATAGCTAAGCTAAATTACACTGCTGTTATTAATTTATCAGATGCTTTTATCCAAAGCTACATATAACTAAGTGCAGGGTCAGGCAGTCTCAGGAGCAATCAGGGTTAAGGGCTTTGCTCAAGGGTCTAAAAGTGGCATCACACTGGAGGATTTGAACCAGTGACCTTCTGATTACTGGTACAGAGTACTAAACTGCTGAGTCATGGCTACATCAGCGCCATCATCAGTATTAATGTTCCTAGAAACTGGAACGGGTGCAGTCATTTGTTTCCATGTTAAAAGGCCAAATACTCGATTTAAAATAAGCTTGAAATGTGACCATGTATCTTGAGTCAATCAGGTCATAGTAAGTAAAGACGGACTCGGGTGTTTCGTGGTGAACCTTTACTGGGCCCCACAGATTTTAGCTCTATATCCGTTGTTTACGGACCTCAAAGATAAAAAGACGGCTGGTTTTTCCACACGGGCAGCGACGGCAGCACTCACTGTCCAGGCGTGCAGCCCGCTCGTCAATCACACACTGCTTTGTGTAAGAGTCCTCAATGGTGGGATCATAGTCGGTCACAAAGTAAGACTGAAAAGAAGAAGACAGCGACACAAACATGAGCGCATCTGAGCTGTTTATATGGTACACGTGACGATAAATAAAATGTTTACGGTTCAGCGACAGCGGTTACAGGGATCCATTTAATGATAGCGGCTGGTCCTCACGGAGGCACACAGGCACGTGGAGATGCAGATTTGCTTTGAAAGCTGGGATTCATGTAAATACAGGTTCATGCGGCAAGCGGAAGCCGGCAACCTGGCCCTGTGTTAAACAATAAAGGTGGCCTGCACCAGTGTTTACAGTCCAAACACTGATTTCTTGTAAATGTTAAGAAGAAGTGGCCCCCACGGCACCCGCACTAACACACATTCACACTGCATCCCTTTAGCACAAAGTAAACATGTAAACATCAGTTAGTTCAGACAAGAAAGAAACCACTAAGTTGATTTGGTCCCAAACAAACACAACACCAGTTTAGTTATGGTTGTACAGTAAAACTGTGTGGGTAAGGGATCTGATGTCTCATTAATTTTTGTTGAAAGAAAAATCTCTGGTTTATTTTAAGTTTTTCCTCTCTCAATTCAAGGCATAAATTTCAAAACCAAAAAAGGGCAGGTGGGGTATCAGCCGCGGGGCTCTGGCATAGGGGTTAGAAGCCTGTCCAGTATGGTGCTGATCTTGTGGCGATGAGGGCCGGTGGTCCTACATACTACACAGGGCTAGTGGAAAAGTACTATTACTACTATACCATATGTTTCAGTGACATTTAGGCCTCAAACTCACCACCTTCTGTTCAAGAGTCCATCCTGTATTTCAAACTTTGATATTCTTTATGAAAAAAATGCTTTTGGTAGCAATCTCTTCCGCGTGGAACACGCTTTGTCATTTTACAGACTATTAAAGGTTCCGGTGCTCAGCTGGAAGTGTGTGGCTTTATTTCCTGTCCTGACTGATGGCTGCGCTGAATCACTTCCGTTTTTCTGTAGCTACCTGCATATACAGCTTGCTACCTTGTGGGGTCCTTCTGCTCCGGCTGGTGATACCTCACTGTGGGATGAGGTCACGTCCCACTCTTGTGGTAGCTTAAAGGGTCTGTGTCAGTCAGGCATCATGCATTCAGTAACACCCCCTAACCCATGCACATGTTCTCTCATTGTCCCCCCCCCCCCCACACTGTAACCACTGGAAGGGGGGGCATATCTGCCTCTCATCTTTCAGGATGGCATTGCCCATATTATTTATATTTAAACAGAACTATTGTTTTTTTTTTTTTTTTTTTTTTTTTTTAGACTTGTGACTTAGGCTAAAAAAAAATCAGGTCTGCAGTCTGGTGAATCAACACGAGAGGAAATGAGAGCATGGCCACAGGGACCCTTACGCCCAAAGTGACCCTAGTCATTAAGGTACAGGATCTGCAGGCGTATCCACGCCTCTCCTCCGGAACGCCCCCCCACAACGACACGGCCCCTCCTGCCTCCGTTCCAAGCTGTTAGCGCTAACACCCCGAGCTATGACATCATAGGCCAGCCCTCTGCACTCGTCTGCCAGCTGCTGAAAAGCCCAGCCCCCCCGTGAGGACCCACCACTCCCACCAGCCCCGCTGCACAGCACATCAGCTCTCCCGATGACATCACAGCCCCGTCTGCAGGAGGAGGAGCCCACATGCCGGATGAGGTCACCATCACAACCATCATCACCATTATCACAAAGGTGATGTCTTAGTGCCAATGACACGCTCATATTTCTATCACCAAGTCCAATGGTTGCCCTGGTTTTAATTCCCCTGGTTTTAATTCCAGCTATATCAAAGGTCGAATAAATTTCAAGACACTGGTCTTAAGAATGCTCTGCTGGCCACGCCCACCCACCCCGGACGATTCCCGGGCCCCCTTGGCCCTTGCCCCCCCAGCTGAAGTTTCCATTGCATGCAGTGTATCGCTCGCAGCTGGCTGGCTGGTCGCTGGACAAGGCAGGCACCCCCCCTCCAGAACTCAATCCAGCCCCTCCCTGCTGCTGGCTGCCCTGCGTGGGCCCAGAGGAAGGGAGGGGCGCCTGCATGCCGTGGGACACTCAGGATGCTGGGGAAGGGGGAGGGACAATGACGTCACACGGGAGGCACTCTCACATTCACAGGGTGGGAGCCTTTCATTCCCAGCAAAGCCAATTAAAAATATATACGCCAAACAGGACAAGGGTAAATGTACAGCAAAGTTGTGTCAATGTCAAGGCTTGAGGATATGGTGAAGGAGTAATGATAGTCAGGATAATAATCTAAAATGAACCAAAACACAAGAACAGTACCTGAACGAAGGTCTCTAAGTATTAGTTGTGTGAATTTTACAAAAACACTCAAAATAATGACAACCAGGCTTTCCAGTCATTAAAAAAAGATTCTTAAAGGTTAACCAAAGTATAGCAGAACTGGAAAATCTTTTCATTTCAAGACATGGGCAGAATTTTCCTAATGGGTTAAAGTGACTGCGTGAGGTATGCTCTGTTTCTGAGGAAAATACAGCAAGAGCATGGGGGGGGGGCACGTCAGGTAGGAGCCCAAAGCTGCCTGGCTCTGCTGGACCGAGAGGCAGCCCCTTCTATCCATGGTAACCAAAACCAGGTGTCCTGAAAACAGCACATTATACTGGGACCTCTGCAGGAACTATGGTGCCCAGGAATTTGCCCCCATGCATTTAAAAAATCACTCCCCCCACCAAGTTCCTCTTGACCTGAAACTGTTTCCTCTCTAATCCCCTTTACTATGAATCACAGCCTCTGACATATCAGCTACTTGGTTGTTACTGAGGACAAATTTGTTCATTTAGACTCATACTTCCCTAATTCACGCAAGAAGCAGAGTAAATAGCCAGTTTCTCTTCTTACTGATTACTGAAGAACTCTATCCATAACTGAACCTTTAGAGAGTGCTAGAAAACCAACAGAGGTCCTACAGCAGAAGGAAAAATACACATAAAATGACATGATTACATGTCTGGTGCTGCAGGACATACATTTTCTTTATGGAACCAGTGACGGAGACCAGTTAGGTCACTTCAGGGTGGGGGAAATGTGCTTTTTCCTGCCCACTGGACACTTCGGCTAGTCTGCATTTACGGGAACACCAGCAGTGAATTACAGCACAGCTGCTCTAACTTCTTCCAGATGTTGGGGAGTTCCTTCCTGGTTCTGCGAAGCGCCCTTCATACTAGACGGCAAGGTACCCTCATGTGAGAAGCCGTATGCTGACCCTC